TTTTTTTCAGCTTTAATTATGTATATAGAATCTTCTAGCTCTGGCATTTCTGCTCTTAAGATTTATTTCATATCAAATCTTCCATCTTATTGCTGTGTCAGTCTTTCAGTCCTCCATCTAACTCTTTCTTGTATTCAAGTAGGAGACACTCCCTAGCTATTCTGTGAGCACAGCCTAACATTGTCCAGCCTAAGGGCGTTACAAGGATGCTAGCATAAATCTTCATGAAAACTAAGGCCTGGTACATGAGATGCGTTGTTCAGAGCAGTAATAAGAAGATTCTTGTCCTGACTCATCACTTTGGCTGCTGTTCGTGCTTTGTGTTTTTTTCCAGTTGTACCACCTACTCCATTGTATCAGACACAGACTTCTTTTCTCCCGTTTAAAAAGGCTTCTCAGAGCAAGTCTTCATTCTGGCTATCCCTTCTGGTGAGCAACAGGACTGGGGAATCCCACCCCCACTTTGATTCCAGGGTCAATTTTCCTGGATGTTCAGTTTTCCAGCATGCCCCTTCACACTTTTTCTCCCATGCTGTGTGTCTCAGAGGTGTTGCCTTGTTAGCATCCCTCAGCGCCATCCCACTGACCCCCTTCCAATCCATCCTCTGTCCTCCCCTCTACAGTGAAGCCTGCCAAGTACCCCCTTCCTAACCGACTAGAGCCAGGGTTGAAGTGCAGGCAGTCCCCAGTCTGTCGCCTCCATGTCTCACTGCTTGTTGTTCTCTCTGTTTTTCCTCATCTCAACCCATCTGTTATCTTTTACGGGTACAGAGGAACTATTTTCAGGCAGACATCAGGTCTTTGAGCAGCATGTAGCCCAATAAGGCACTTGTCCCAAAATGGGGGACAGAAGGGCTTCTTTTAAATGTTTCTCTTGAGGTTGACAATTCATATAAATTCCAAATCTATTCCAGAGCTGCTGCAGTTAGAAATACATCTTATCTTGGAATCTCCCTTTCCCAGAACTGCAAGGCATTTTGGCTCCATTTATGCTAGTTCTGAAGACATCTGCTATGCATCAAAGAGCTATTTTAGATCATTGTAAAGGTTTCTAAAATATATCTCTCTTCTTGGATTTTTTCACAGTTAAACTCGTGACTGCAGAACTGGAAGAACGAGTGTTATTGAACTTGTGTAGGAGGTTTTGAATGGACAGGTTATGAAATTAAAGCAGCATTGGGGGGCAAGAGGGCCAAATTACTTTTTCTTTGTGCACTCTCCTCAAGGAGTTCATTAGCGAATTCATCTGCTGTTTCTTTCATTCATTGACTTTGTCAATAGTGTTTGTTGGCTAATTACCTGAGTTAGGACCACAGAAATTATTTATTTCTTGTTGTCTGAGAGGTGGAAGATACAAATGCAAAGGGAAAGCGGTGTTGTTCCTTATGCAAAGAAGGCAGGGATGCATGTGATAGTTCATTTAAATGCTGCTGGGCCTCAGGAGTGATCATAGCCCACTCATCTGCCTACCTGGGAAGTTAAAAAAATTGCCTTATAAAATGCTGTATTGCTTCCTTTGCTGGTCCTTCAGTGAGCAGTTGAACTAGGCATTTTTCTCACATCAACTATAAGTCCCCTAGCACTGAAACGACACATAGGAAAAAACCCTCTCCTTACCCTGTGAGACAGGTAAAGTATGGCTGTGGTTGTTGACTATAGCACTGACACCTGGGAGGAAGGCAGGTAAGGGGAAAAATACTTTAATAATTCCGATGACGAATGACAATACAGATCAGCTTTAATTTACATCTACCCGTCTTTTAAATACTTCCAGGGATGGGGACTCAACCACTTCCCTGGGCAGCCTGGTCCAATGTTTAACCACTCTTTCAGTAAAGAAATTTTTCCTCACATCCAATCTAAACCTCCCCTGGCGCAACTTGAGGCCATTTCCTCTCGTCCTTTCGCCAGTTACTTGGGAGAAGAGACCGACACCCACCTCGCTACAACCTCCTTTCAGGTAGTTGTAGAGAGCAATGAGGTCTCCCCTCAGCCTCCTTTTCTCCAGGCTAAACAACCCCAGCTCCCTCAGCCGCTCCTCATAAG